CCCTTCTCACCAATTTTTCCATCTTTAGCCTCATCCCATGCTCTGTTCGGAAGAGGACAGTTTCATACTCTCTGTGTCTTAGGGTCAGAATTTTCTTCTTGCTGAAATTTCTTCCTGCCAACTCACCACTGAAGATGGGAAACGTGATGTTCAGATTAGGAACGGAGGCTTTGCAAGCTTACTTTGTTTTAGTGTTCAGTGTTACAGTTTTCATGTGGGAAAGGGGCTCCGGACACCCTAGACATTTCATATAATTTCCCTCCCTACCAAGTCTTTCAAAACTTTTGTTTTAAACTGTAGTCACTGTGCTGTACATTCCATCTCAGGACTTAGTTATCTTATAACTGGATGTTTGTAACTTTAGATTACCTCACCTATTTAGTCCTGCCCCCTCTTCAACCTCTGGCAACCACCAACCTGTTCCAGCCTGTTTTCTGCATCTATGAGCTATTATTTTTTAAAAAATTCCACATGTAAGTAAGATTATATAGTAATTGTCTTTCTTTATCTGACTTGTTTCACTTAGCATAACACCCTCAAAGTCCATCCATGCTGTTGCAAATGGCAGGATTTCCCTCTTTTTTATAGCTGAGTAATATTCCATTGTGCATGTACCACATTTTCTTTAACGATTCATCCATCAATGGACATTTAGATTGTTTCCATATCTTGGTCATTGTAAATAATGCTGCAATGAACATGGGGGTTCACATATCTTTACCAGATAGTGATTTTGTTTTCTTCAGATAAATACTCAGAAGTGAGATAGCTGGATCATATGATAGCTCTGTTTTTAATTGTTTGAGGACCCTCCATACTGTTTTTCATAGTGGCTGCACCAATTTGCATTCCCACCAACAGTACACAAGGGTGCCCTGTTCTCCACACCCTGGTTAACATTTGGTATTTCTTGCCTCGTCGATGATAGCCATTCTAATAAGGGCTGTGAAGTGATGTCTGATTGTGGTGTTGATTTTCATAGCCCTGATTAGTGATGTTCAACACCCTTTCATGGACCTGTTGGCCATTTGTTTATCTCCTTTGGAAAAATGTCTATTCAGGTCCTCTGCCTACTTTTTTAATCCATTTTTTTTCTATTGAGTTGTACAAATTTTCTATATATTTTGACTATTCACCCCTTATCAGACATAGGATGTGCAAACATTGTCTTCCATTCAGCAGGTGACCTTTTCCCTTCAGTTCATTTTGCTGACGGTTCCCTTTGCAGGACAGCCTGCCAGCTCTTGGCACTTTTCCCGTACGTCCTTTTCACAGGTGCTCTTGTCTCTTCTTCCTCCGCGGTCACAGCACGACCATCACTCTCTTCATTTCCGGGCAGATCTCTGCTCTGTGTTCAGTTCAAACAAGAATCTGAAGTTTCTGGATGTGAGGGAAGGTTTCCTGAGTCAGTCCTCGGTGAGGATTCTTTGCCAGCAGATAACCCGCGTCACCTGTCATCTCCAGAAAGTCGTGTAAGGGGAAGCCAGTCCTGCGACGGTGATCCCCAAGCACTTTCCATGTGGGAGCCGTATGTGAATGCCCGGCCAGGCTCCAGCCAGCCAGGTGCTCAGAATACGAAGAAATGAAATGGTTGCTATCCTTACATGTGTCTAGTGGGAGAATCCTATTTTATGTTTGAGTCATTTTGATGAAATCTGACAGAGTTTGGATATTTGACAACATCGACTGTGGGGTGCGTTGGAATCATACTACATTAAGTTATGTTATGAAATCTGGCCGAGAGCTTGGATGTTTCTGTACGTCTGCTAAGGGGCACATTCGAAACTCAGCCTATGGAAAACAGTCACATGCGTGTTAGGAGACCTGGGCAGGAATTGCAGAAATATTCCAGAGATCAAAGTTTCAAATACATGAATAACAGTGTGTTGATGGAGCATTTATAACTGGTGTGTGGAACAGACTGAGAAATTTAGTCTGAGTAAGGTAGGTTGTGGCAGAAGAAAATCGAGATGTGGGTCACATGGGCAGGTGACCACTAGCGCATCCTTTTAAACCAACACGTGTTCTTTTGACAGTGGCCATTCTGTCAGGTGAGGTGATGTCTCGTTGTGGTTTTGATTTGCATTTCCCTGATGATAAGTGATGCTGAGCATCTTTTCATGTGCCTGTTGGCCGTCTGTGTGTCTTTTGAACAGGGCCTATTTCGGTCCTCTGCCCATTTTTAAATTGGATTATTTATTTTTTGATATTGAGTTGTATGAGTTCTCTAGTTTGGGTATTAACCCCTTATTGGACATATCATTTGCAAATATCTTCTCCCAGTCAGTGGATTGCTTTGTCACTTGGTTGGTTTCCTTTGGTGTGCAAAAGCTTTTTAGTTTGATGTAGTCCTATTTGTTTTTGG